ATTACTTAGGCATAGGAGCTAAAAGTTCTTACCACATTAGTTGTCAGTGTCAACTAAAAGAGTGGTTCTCAACCTTGGCCATATATCATCAGGGAAAGTGGAAGATCTCAAGATCATGGCATAAGCCAGATGAATGAAATCAGAATCTCTTGGGGCTAAGGGCTTTTTCAAAGATCCTCAGGATATTCCCATGGGACCCCAAGGATCATGATCTAGAGTAAAAATTTACTGATAATGAAGAAACATCTTTGAAGTGTAAATCAATATAAAGTAAACAACAAAATGTTTGTGCCTAGTCAATCTGAGGTTAAACACAGAAGATAAAGATTAAAAAGAAAATTGAAGATTGAAATTAAAGCAATAGGCCAAATAATTCAAATTAAAATATTATTTTATTTGAAATAGTTATCTCTATACTGATTCTAATATACTCAATCTAGCATGAAAAAATATCTTAATGGATTATAATTTATATGTGGGAGAGTATGAGAATGAGAGCATTATTGATTTCCTTTCCTTTATATTTTAATTCACCTTGCACAGACACTGGTCTCATGAAATTAAAGCGATTAAAACCAATATACAACAGCAATTTTTCAAATTTTCTGGCTATGCCCTATTTAGCTACTAATTTGACCCAGATATAAGTCCAAAGTAAAAATAATCATTCTTTAGTCTATAAAACAATAAGCATCTAATATTAAGACAAAATTTGGGGTATTTTCATATAAAAATAAAATACAGATCATAAAATTAGTGGTTGTATATAAAACAAAAATATAACAAACAAAAATATGGATCATAAAAATGGTTACGATAGTAGTTTTGACCTTATAAATGGCCTTAATAATGGTAAAATGATTATCTGCACAGTTAGACTATTTGACTTTGAAGAGAAGCAATTCAACTATAAAGATATGATTTAAAAATAATAAAGTGGTAAGATACAAAAAAGATCTATTTGCATATGTATTCCACACTCCTAGATGGTGTCACATTAAATACAAATCAACAGCAAAATAATATTTTATATTCAATGTTTAAGTGGAAATAATTGTTAGATATTTGATTTGATTTTAAATAAGTATTTTCAAGAATCTAGAGTTCATGACACCAAAATAAATTAAGAACTTAAGAAAGGTTCAAATTGTACATTATGTAACCCAAATTCTATGTTCTCAAACTGGTTAATGTTTGTGAGTGATTTCTTCAGACAATACAGAAAGCCTCAGATATCAAGATTATTATATACGCCTAACATTGGCAGAGCATCTTTGGCCAGTATCTGTTCAATATGAATAAGCAATAAAATCTGCTTTAACATTAGGTTATAAAAATAAAAATATGGAAATGTATACATTCTTGAGAGTATGAAAATTAGTATTTATTGTGGGAGAACTAAAATACAGATGATGCAATGTTTTTGTTAGAATCTAATCTCAAATCTCTTTTCACTGATCGCCTGACTTAATTTAAGGTATAGCAAGTACATAAAGCTATCAATATCAAAAGTTTACCAGTAACAAAGAAATTTATATTCCTTAAATATCTTAATTTTATAATATGTATCTTCAAGTATGTTTCAGAGCTAAAGAAGGACAAGAGAAAAATCGTTAAGTAAAAAAAACAAACAAGCAGGTTAGCAATATACATATGTAATTTTGTATCTTAAAATACTGCATATTTAAATATTACCAACCAACTGGAAGATTATTACAGATGTGTCACTCTTATTATATGTAAAAATGATAATTTTGAAAAACACTGCAACCTACAGAAAAGAATTCTTGTCATCATTTTTGCTACTTGATTTACGTAATATAGCAGCTCGAGTGCTCTTTATTTTTCCATAAATTACTTACGAGATAAATGTGCATGCCTACTTTTGAAAAAGTAAGTCAGCTATTTCTCAGAATATTAAAAAATATTCTTGGGTGCAAATGATTTCTACCGTGTGTTGCAACACAAATGTTCGCTAAAGTAAAGTCAAGCTGTATTTGATCTCTAATTACTATGGACTCAAGGCACTATGACTGTATTAGATCAATATCACAGTTTTGTGGTGTGTGTGTATGTGTGTGTTTTCAGCACAAGAGGTCCAAAAGCTCTTCAACAGAAGTTGAATAAAAATTAAATGTAATCAATTTTATTTTTATTCATATATGGGATGTGGCTTTTTGTAAATGAGGGAAAATATAAAACTAGAAGGTAATAATATGTCCTAACTTTTCATAATTAGAAATTACTGCATTAATCATTTAATATATATGGGCATGATAAAGTTAATATGTTTCTCCTAAAATATAAATTTTAATAATTTGTATAACTAATATGACTAAATATATTATATCTATATTTTTACAAATATATTTACAAACTCTTAAATTAGATTTTTTCATGAATATATTACCAATTCCAGAAATATAGCGCATTTGCTTTTAACATAGCCTAGCACTTTGTGGCTATCTTAAAATATGGAATTTTGCATAGAATGTATATCTTGAACAACATCCCTGATGACAGTCATAATTTCATAATTATAGGTATGTTTGAAATAAGTAAATGTGTTTAGGAAGAAATTCAGACACATTTGTCAAAGACTACAAGTAGCATTTTAAGCCATGTGATATAATTTGTATGTGGATGTGTTTGTGGCTTTTGCAGAATCATAAAGAAATCATATATTTAATTAAGGAACTAACCAATTGATTTGTAAGTTATCAACCAGGAACACTTGCGCCTTAAATTTGAAACTCTAATTATTGAAAACTGTTATTATGGAAAAAAATTTTCAAATTGACAAACAAACAAAAGTCACATAACCAAGAAAATAGCTACAAGACATCACAGGCAATAAATTATGTGTTGTGGTGTTGAGGGACTCAAATGGCTGTCCTTACTTTTCAGTGTGAAGAAGAAATGTTCCTAAGAAGTTAAATTTTTATAATGTGCTTTTGTGTACACAGTTAACAACTACCACTTTATATAAAAACACAATCCAGACATAGTTCATAAAGTTGCAAATTAATTTCACCTACATTATACCTTACAGCTATAATTACAACTATAGAGTTGAGAATTATTTCAGGTCAAGAGGAAAATAAACATACTTCTATTTAAAATTTGGATATATGAACAAAGGTATATTTGACAGGCTTATATGAAAATATACTGCAGTCTATTGATAATGCAGACTATCTTTTACATACTAAACCTATGTGAGTTGGAATTAATAGAAATTTCTACGAGAATTACATTCAGAAAAGCAGGCAAATTCATATTATCACAAGGTACCACTTTTAAACATAAATAATATACTGAAATGCTTGTAACCTTTTTATGAGTAGCAAAATTAGCAGACACACCACTTTCCTTATTTTTAGTTCTGATGCAATATATCTGGTCACAATAAATAATGATGCAATAAATTATTAATTCCTGCCATTAAGAATAAGTTCAATCCCCAGGCATTAGTTATAGTGGTATGGTTAAGAAAAGTATGTAGGAAAGTTTAAAATCCACTTATCTTATGAAAAAGCATTCTAAATTAATGTTGTAAACTCAATATTAGTCTTTTCAAAGAAGATCTGTTTCTGCTCTTAAAGAATGTTGAAAGACGAGATTAGTTTGAGTTTAGCTTAATTGTCAAAAGCACAACTAATCAATCCAAAGCAAAATACAGCCCTTGAACTATGTTCTTTTAAAACAGGTATCCCTTAGACCATTCTCTTGTCAAACATCACGTGTCCTTTTTATCCATACTGCCCTTGATTGCACTTCCCCAGTACAAAGCAAGTAAAGCAAAAGAAGGACAGTTTTTCGGTTCCTGTGTGGTGTTGAGAGAGTAGCGAAGAGAAAGGAAAGGAGAGAATATTATTCCTTTTTAAAAGCAATATCATTTCATTGTATTGTTTAAGAAATTACCCTTGGAGCAAAACATTAAGGCTTACTGATGTTCTGTCATCATTTCTTCCCTACTAAATTGTCACTCACTGCAGTATCTTCAAGAAAGCCCTTGGGCAGTATCATTTCAGCACCACGGACAGTGACACTTCTACTAGTACATGCGCCCAAGGTTGCATTGTCCATTTCTTAAGAAACTTGCATACACTTTCTTTTTGTCAGTCAGCAAGGACTATGTTCACTATTATATTAAACAGAAAGAGCCTGAATATGGCGCACATTATTAAGGAGTTTAGTATTTTTCATCCACGGCGTCATGCATTTGCCATTTAGTACTTCTGGAGAATATGCTGAAAACTCAAGCTAATTATGTAAGATGTCTGATAAAACCTAACAGTGACCATTGATCACCAGATACTTAATTAAAACTTTCCACTCATACTGAGTCTGAGATAAATAATTATTCAAATGTCTACGAGAAGACAGAAAACTTATTGTGGGTAACTATGCTTAGGTAGGCCTCCAGACTTCCCAAACAACCAGAACTATACCTGTAAAACAGGTAAAATGTGTTTTTGCTCTTCCTACATAAATAGTTACAAACACTTGCTCTTTCCCCCCTGGTCAACCAACTTAATGATGTCACTATCTGAAAATTCATGTGTGCAGGTCCATAAACCAACCCACACATGCCTGTCTCTGACTCTTCTGATTTTAGCTAGGGTCATCAGGATGCAGTCCCACCATTGTCTTCCTAACAAGCCACATTCAAATTCCATTTTTCTAAAAAGGTAAGAGAGTTTGAAACAATTACATATCCGTAAGAGATCATTTAAGCGTCGGCTTTATTATCTCAGTAGACCAGAGTGTTCCCTGATCTTCCAAGGATTCCCAGAAGAAGGCACCAGTCCACCAGTAATCCACCAGTTTTCCCAACTCGAGCACCAAGTCAAGCTCTTATAACCACAACGACGACGACTGAAGTAACAAAACCGGAGCCAAAAACTATTTCAAAACCCTAGAAAACACCCCAACCAAGCAAAACAGATGATAGAGCTCAAGAAGGGCCGAAGAAAAAGGAAGTCCGCTGTTCCTACCTTACAGTCCTCCGGACAGGACTTCACCGAGTACTCCTGCGACTGTAAATACTTATGGAGCACACTTTCGAACTCTTCGTATTTCTCCTGAGCGTGGTGGTCGTAGTCTTGGTAAGCCTCGACGCACTGCCTGCAGGTGGTCATCTCGCCGCCCTCCTTGAGCACCACATCCAGACTACAGTTCAAAGTGTTGGGACTTGACAACCCCGAGAACAACTCCCAAAGTGTGTAGGAATTACAAAACGAAAGGTAAAAATCCGACAAGTTCCAGAGCGGAGCGGGCTGTGCGCCCCTCGCCCGCCGCTGCTCGCCCGCGGCCGCCCCCCGACTCCAGTTCCTGGCGCACACGGCGTCCGCGCTCTCCACCGTGAAGCACTGGCCCGAGGAGGCGCCCTGGGGGTAACAAGTCTCCAGGCGCCACAAGGGCTTGGCAGAGTTTCCTAGAAAAAGAGCCTTGCTCTGGTTGTTTCCGCCTCTGCTGCCCTTGCCGCCGCCGTCCCCCGGGGAGGGGGGCAGGGTGG